TGAACTGTTAGCGACGTTAGCCAAAGGCTATTGATGCTGTCAGCACTTAATGTCCATCCTGAGCAGGTGATGCGGCCTGAGTATAGCCAACCCACTGAAATACCTTACCCTATTTTGCGAATATGAGATTGTTACTAATGCAATTTTAACTTAGTTAACAGCTGATAATCAAATTCAAAATTCATGAATATATTAAAAGCATTTAATGCGGCTATAGAATGTATTCTGTATAAATCTGGAAAGATATGTGTGGAGCTAGTACAAGTGTAATTAGACTTCTCATTCTTCAAATACGCAGATATGCGCATTATGTAAAGTTAAATTGTCTCATCGAAAGGGAGGGGGGAGAGAAGGAGGAGGAGAAGAGAGAACTTAATTCGGTTGCATCTCTACAATGATTGAGTCGTCTTTAGGAGCATACTTCTTCGCCGCATTCTTGGTGCTCACCGCTGTACTTGGGTCCACGCGAGCCTTTGATTTCTCAAGAGCCATTTTCATGCCGCAGACTTTTCCGAGGATAGCAGCTTTAATCTCGCGATGAGCCATTCCGAAGATGAACGCATGAGAGAGGCCAGAAAGCGTAGCGCAGGTACCCACAAAGAAGGACACTTCGTCAAGTAACTGAATAGATTATTAAGTGAGAGGTTTGGAAAGAATTTCAAGAAGATTAGCCAACCAATTTCAACACCTATGAGACTCACTTTGAAACTGACTATGGTACCGAGGCCATTGAGACAACCCGGCACTACTCCAATCAAAGCAGATACAAGCAAAATATACAGCGCCACTCGATTAGCCTGTAAATTTGGATTTTTGTTTTCGACGGCGTAGCATATAAATACCACTTACACTTTTATCTATCTTGCTTTTATTACGTTTTTCTATTTCAGCAGCTTTTGAAAGTAGAGCAGATCGTTTGTAGAGATGAAATAAGATTAAGACTGTCAACAGGCACGATAGTAAATTCATCGCCATATTCGATAGTCCCCAGTATGCACGGAATAGCTTAAATAAGTAGAAAAAAGTAATTTTTTCAGAATACTCAGAAGTTGTGGAACTTACCTCATTGGTAAAACATCCAAATGAGCTGCAACCAGGAACTCTTCTTATGGTAACAGTAAACTGTAGAACGATCCAGTCGACAAAAGCAAGGATTAAAGCAAAAACGAAAGCGGCAACGGACCAACTAAAATGGTAAAGAGATGTACATATCTGCATCCAAAGTCGTAAAATATCTTGATTTCAAACTAAATTTCATGCAATAATAAAATCGTTTACTCTGTACGATACCATACAAATTAGGGATGATATCCTCCTGACAATACTATAATTTATAGTTTCAATAAAATTATGGCGTAAGACTGTCAATCTAC